GGACCTCATTAAACTAAAAAGCTTCTTTACAGCAAAAGAAACAACCAAGGAAATGAAAACACACAGAGTGGTAGAAAATCTTCACCAGGAACACATCTAACAGAGGTTTAACATTCATATATAAAGAATTCAAAAAACAAAGAAGCAAGAAAGCAAGTGATTCAATTGAAAAATGGGCTAAGGATCTAACCAGAGATTTCACAAAAGAAGAAATAAAGATGGCTAAGAATCATCTTTAAACGTGTTCAGCATCACTAATAATTAGGGAAATGCAAATTAAAACCACTTTAAGACTTCACATTACCCCAGTCAGACTGGCTAAGATCAAGAGAACAAATGATACTAAATGTTGGAGAGGATATAGCAAAAGGGGAACACTCATCCACTGCTGATGGGACTGCAAACTTGTTCAACCCCTATGGAAAGCAGTGTGGAGAACTCTTAAAAAACTACAAATGAACCTACCATTTGACCCAGTTATACCACTCCTTGGCATATACCCAAAGGACTCATCCTTTTGAGATACTTGTGCATCTATGTTTGTTGCTGCCCTTTTCACAATAGCTAAGAAATGGAAGCAACCTAAGTGTCCCTCAACTGACAAATGGATAATGAAAATGTGGTACATTTACACACTGCAGTTCTACTCAGCAGTAAAGAAAGATGAAATAATGAAATTTGCAGGTAAATGGATGGGACTGAAAAATGTTATACTAAGTGAAGTAACACAAAATCAAAAAAAAAAAAGACATACACCCTCCCTCATATGTGGATTCTACCACCAAATCCTTATATATGAGTATGAAGCCTGGTGTAACTGCAGAAATCAAGATAATGAAAAGGAACCAGGGAGATAAAAAGAAAGAAGGAACCTGAGAGAGAAGAACAGTTAGGAGACTGGTGTTACTAAAGGAGAAATGGATAAAGTGGAGGTATTTAAATGAAAGGGGGAAGGTTGGTTATACAAGGAACTATGGGGATAATGAGAAAGAAGGAGCTCAAGAGAGGTGGGACCATAGAAGACTGGGATTACCAAGGGAGAAATGGGGAAAATGGGGACACTAAATGGGGAAGTCATGGTGGAAAGGTTAGACAGGGAGAGAAAGGATGGATAAATAATGCCTAGCTAGTGTAAAAAACTAGAGGAAATCATATTAGTCCAACAACCTAATAACAAATTAACATACAATATCTCTACATGAGTCCATGTGTATAGCTAAAGGCTACATAACAAGAAACACTGCCAGAAAGGAGAAAGCTTCCTTTGAGTTGTTGGACAGTGTGGTCCAAGAGACTTCCAAAATTACACAGGCTTGCCACAGCCCTTGATGGCCTCCCAGAACCTGAAGGTAAGACCCTACTGCTGAAGCAGAACATACTTGAGACACAGGATTTGGAGCAATGGAGCTGGGAATGACCTGGAAGCCACCTCCCCCGAAGGTTAGCTCTCATAACTTTGGAGAGCGCTACAAAAGGGGCTAAGGGAGAACATCAATCAATGGTTCAACACCAGGCTCAAGACCGAATAACCACATCAATGACCTTCACAGCATACAACATTGTTGCAGTAGTGGCACTTTTATCTTGGGGCAATCAACAGCTACATAATTAAACTAAAAGCCCACTCAATGGGAGGAACCTCATGTCTGATACTGTAAACATAGCTAAATACACATGGCTGAGGAAGTCATAGATCTTAGAGAAAACCCCAAGTCTGTCACAATCCTAGACTAATGTAATTTCTTAGTGTGTGAAAAATATGTATCCTTATATTTACAGACAAATATTCCAGCCACCACTCATCAAAGAAGTTTCTTTTGCACCAGGCAGAGACTATTGCAGAGTACCACAACTGGTCACAGACATTGTCTGTGAATTGCCCAAGTCTCAGTGGCACATCTACAATGCAACCTCTACACATAAAGCTCATGGAATATAGAACTGAAGTAAAGAAGACACTAATGAATATCTCAGTTCTCAATAATGAAGCTCCCTCATGCGACAGAGGGCCATGAACACAAAAGGTCACAAATGGTCAAAGCATAGAGACTAAGAGTCTGCAGAATGCTGGTCCTTGGACAGGACTCTTATATTAATCTACACCCACCAGAGCTCAGGAACCATTGCAAAAGAGGGGGCAGAAAGATTGTAAGAGTCAGGGAGGAAGTGCATATAGAAACAGAGTCCTACAAGCTCCTGGAACCCTGCTCATATGAACATACAGCAATGGTGTCAGCATGCACAGGACCCACACAAACTCAAGCAGACAAAAACCCAGCATAGAACTGTGGAAATGGACAGCAGGCCCTAATCTTAGGTGCAAAAATATTGGCAACTGATTACTAGTGGGTGAGGAAGAACTGATCTTCCTAAAGCGAGAGACTCTAGATAGGCTGACTAGACCTCAGTAGATGAACTGGCACTGAGGGACATATGGGGACACTAACTTGACACAGTGGGCCTTAAGACAAATGACAGAATGTATGAATTCCAGTGGGGGGCTATGGGAAGATGCCAGTGGGGAGGAAGTGTAAAAATAATTAAGAGGGCTGGAGAGATGGCTCAGTGGTTAAGAACAATGGTTGTTCTTGCAGAACACCTGGGTTTGAATCCCAGCACCCACTTGGCAGCTAACAACTGTCTGTAATTCCAGTTCCAGGGGATCCGACAGCCTCTTCTGTCCTTCGCAGGCATTGCATGACACGGGTGTACTTACCTACACACAGGCAATACATGCATACACATAATAAAATAAAATAAAATAAATAATAAATAAAATTTTTAAAATGATTGAAATTGAGATGGTCTGTATGAAATACACAAAAATTTAATTTAAAAGTATTTTTGAAACAACAAATTTAAATTTAAAAAGTTACTATACAGCAAAAGAAACGATACCAAAGTAAACAAAGAGCATACAGAATGGGAAAAAAAAATCTTCACCAAGTATACCTAAGACAGGTGGTTAATATATAAAGAACTACAAAAAATAAACAACAAAAAAATCCAGTAAAAAATGGGCATGGTCTGGATATACAGTTCTCAAAAGTAAATATATAAATGGCTACAAGTATTTGAAAAAGTATTCACTATACTTAGTCATGACACAAATATAAATCAAAAACACCTTGAGATTCTATCCCACGCAAGTCAGAATGGTTATCCTTAAGGGAAAAAATATACAACAAAAAAAATTGGTTGGAATGTGTGGAAATATAAATTAGTTCAGTCACTACAGAAGCCAGTGTGGATTTTCCACAAAAAAGTAAAAATAGGACTATCGCGTGACCTACTACGCCAGAGAAACCTGCACATCCATGTTTACTACTGCACTATCACAGTAGGTAAGAAATGGAGCCAGCTCAGATAACCATCAACAAATGGATGGGGAAAAAAGAAAACATGGAACATATACAAAATACTATTATTTGACTGCAAAGAAAAATTAATCAAATTTATAGGAAATGGATAGACAAATACTGCATGTCTTTTCTCATATGTAGAATATAGATTTAAATTTGAACGTGTGTGTACACATCATGTGTGTATGCACGTCAGGAAAGTAGAAAAAGGAACGTGCATGGAAGAAAGAGCTCTTCAGGGACAGAGGGAAGGAAAATATGGAATAAATGTATGATGAATACAGAAGGAAATGAATAATAAACTATAATTACATATATGCATTAAAATGCCATAAAGATACCCATTACTTTACATGTTAACTTTAAAAGTATTTAAAAAGAATATGGCTAACACGTCATCTATTTATTCAACTAAATCCTAGCACTATTATTTTGATCTTTCAAAATGGCCTGCTTTTGCTTTGAGCCTGTAGTACCAAAATTCTTCAAATAATTTAAGAATTTTTTGACTTCAAACACAGTATGTTAAGAATTTACTAATGCACAGCCAGGCATGGTGGCACATGCCTTTAATTCCAGCACTTGGGAGGCAGAGCCAGGTGGATCTCTGTGAGTTCAAGGCCAGCTTGTTCCACATAGAGAGTTCCAGGACAGCTGGGCTACAGGGAGTAAAAAAAAAAAAAAAAAAAAAAAAAAAAAAAAAAAAAAAAAAGAATTTACTAATGCATTAATATGTTCATGATTTACAAATATCAGCGGATCAATGGCTACACTTAAAATTTTTTTTTAAAATCATAAGCTTCCTAATAGAAGAAGAGTCTAGGTTTACATACTTGAAATTACTGAAATTTACATACAACTGTCTTAAAAATTAAATTACATCTTATAACTGTCTCTTTTATGCTTACATGTCATCAAGCAGGCAAATTTTAAGAAGATTTTACTAACTTTACTATTAATGTATCATAAATGACTATAACTAGACCTCTGGTAGAGCTTACCCAAGGTACATCCAACATTTCTTTTGCTTAGGAAAAACTAGTTTTCATTACACTTTTCATATACACGCACACATAAAAATATACAATCTCAATCATTAAAAAAAACACAAAATTTTAGACCTTTGGAAATCACTGGTTAGAGGAGACATACATACATACATACAGGGTAGAAAGGGACAGACTATTCAGATTAACTCTACCTAAAATAAATAGGAAAAAATTTTTAAATATGTATCGCCAAATGAACAGCCTCCCACTAGCTCAATTATTCATCAAGCTTCTGAAACCAAAAGACCAAAATGAAAACAGTGTCTCTACCACTTAATACAGAGAAAACTAATGATTGGTTGATTTCTCATAGGAAAAACAGATCACAACGGGGGAGAAATGAAGTAGATATATTTACCAAGAGCTGTCACTTAATTTCTCTCATAAATAAAGACAAAGTTCACCATCAAAATATATATTCATTTACTGTATCTTTAAATATAGATTTAACTATCTTTCTGTGGCTAAATAAAAGAAAAAAACAAATGCATTTTCCTCCCAAATAGTTTATTAGAATTTGTAGCATAAAGAATTTCTGAGCATTTGCTTTTAAGTATATTTTGTAAGGGCATAAAAGAAGTGACCATACCTGTTTTACTAATGACTTCTTGCAGCTCTGTCATAGAACTGATTATAGCAGCAAGAAGGTCAGAACTGGTGAGCCAACTGAGTGCTTGCAAACAACGTTGCTGCTCCCGTTGATGTTCTGCAAAAACATGAAACAGTCATTATACGATGCTACAAATGTTGTTAGAATCCATACATAAATTTCATAGCAGTGTTCAGTAGTTAAGAAATAAATCAAATTTGTATACATAACATTCCCTAGTACAGAAAAATCTAAAAATGTTACATTTGATTGACCTAATATTAAGTAACTGCCATCAAAAAGGACAGAGAAGAAATTTTCTTTAGTTTCAGGAATATTACAATGCCTGCTTTTTTATGAGTTAGCTCTCAGGGACACTTGATGCAGGTAGAACACTTGTTTACTATGAGTGTAGCCCTAGGTTCAATCCCCAGCACATGCATTTTCAAAAGTTAACAACTGAATCTTGTTTCTTCAAAACAGCAAAGCATTCAAAAAAAGTTTGCTGGAAATTTCACATTTGCATCACTTTTTTTTTTTGTCTTTTTGAGACAGGGTCTCCCTGTAGCCCCAGCTGTCCTGGAACTCACTATGTGGACCAGGCTGGCCTTGAACTCACAGAGATCCATCTGCCTCTGCCTCCCGAGTGCTGGGATTAAAAGTGTGTGCCACCATGCCCAGCATTCTTTTTTTAGAGATGTTTAACTCTAATTATTTCATTCTGGTTTATACACATATACTGGACTAAGTCAAATTATTTGACATATTACATAATGGTTGTTTACACATATAATGGACTAAGTTATACTATTTGACATAGTACATAAGTCTTTGACAGTTTAGTATAATACTCAACTAGATACACATTGTACTTTACTTACATGTAACTTAGGTTTTAAAAAGCACAAGTTAGCTTACTTGGAAATTTATGCTTGTCTTTGGGTTCTCCTGTACACACTAGTATTCCTACACCTTCTTTAAAACTTTCCATCCAGGTAAAAAGAGAAGCACATGATTGGCCCAAAGTCTGGAGTCTATTGGCTGCCAAAATTACAATAACACCTCTCCGGAATACACGTATCAATCCTTTGAATGGTTTTTTCTTTATTTTGGTGTCTTCTTGTTTCTTTTCCTCTATTGTTGACAATGCCTGAGCTAGAGTTCTAATTTCCAGTTTGAACACTTCCAAGGTGTTGACTTGCTCCTGGAGATAATCTCTCTGTGTGGATAAGGCAAACGATCTGCTATAGAGGGGATACAAGGCCCCAGCCATTAGTGCACATGCTGCCAGCAAGCATGTCTGTTCCCTTTGAGTCTTTGACAACACATTTTTGAAGTGAGAATTTTCTAGAACCAGTTGTTCATGTGACTTCTCAATATGGCTTAATTTTTCCATATTTTTTTCTGCAATTTCTTGAAATTTCTAAAAAAGAAGTCAAGCAATAATTTGGTCATGAAACAGGCATTTTACTAATTTTTCTTAATATGAAGGAAAAGCTTTGGCTGAAACAACTTCCCCTTCAAGTGATCAATGTTATAAAATACCCAAAGAATCTGTAATTTATATGAGCAACAGTGAGCCAAGAAGCTTAGGTCTGAATGTGTGCATTGACTTTTAACACTTCTTAATAGAAGGTGCACGTACAATGTAACACACAAATTTAGGAGTACTTCATGAATTTCCTGTATACTTGTGCATAAATACACATATTTAGAAAAGGAAAATGTGCCTTTTAAGCATATTTCTTTTTTCAACTCCTCAATAATTTTATTTCCTTTTAAACAGAAATTATATTGCAAATTGAAGCTGTTCTATAGTAAAAAGATACTACCTTTTTGCAAAAATAAACATAGGAATAAATCAATGATGGAAGAACAGTGATTGGCTGTCTGCCATCTACTGATGAAAGGAGACTGACTCAGAACATTCCCCCTTATTTCAAGTTCTGACTTTTAAGACATGCAGCAGTTCCAGAGAGTGAAGGAAATACCAATTGTGAGCTGGGTCTCAGCAACTCTCTAATACTTTTTGCTTAATTATGGTTCTTAGAATTCAAAATTTAACTTGAAACAACAAAAAAATTGTATAAACCATATTTGAATCACTAGAAAATAAACTGGTTCTATATGAAAATTAACCAGGGGAATCCGAAGCGACATAGGTGCATTCACATACATGCAGGGCAATACACTCATACACATAAAATAAAAATAATGAATAAAAATATAAAGAATATTAAATATAATGATTATGGCTTGTTCTGGCAATAGATATTTTTTTAAGAATAACAGATTCTTCTATTTATCATTCAATAGACATTACAGATTACTCACTAAATCCAATATGCTATAGAAATAGAAAAGTAAATAATCAGTATTATGGTGTGATGTTATGATAGAAATATACCAGATTATCAGAGCGTACCAAAGGGCACTTGACAAAATGATGTTGACAGGCTTTTAGAGAAATATGACAAAGGTAACATGGTAGATACACAATTGAAAAAAAAAATTTAAAACCTACTTCATTAATAAAGAGGCTAGATAATAGCTACTCTTCAATAATTTAACCTTGCAAATAATGATTTAACACCTGCAATTGGAGTTTATTTTCAAAGTGAACTGTCATGACGTAGCCATGAACTCTTTCTTTTGAACAGCAAGCAGACTAAGGGAGCTCAATTTTAGTAAGGTAGTCATTCAGAGACTGAGAAATATTATACTCTGTATCCTTATGGCAAAGTCAAGTTCTGTTTTCATAATGAGAGAATCCTTTGGGGGCATTAAAGAAAATACTTGTCTTTGTATTATTGGTTTAAACTTTACTATGTGTGAAACTTAATGTTTATCTTTGGGAAGAGGTATGTGATGTCTTATTCAAGAGTTATCCATTAGACACCTAGAAGAAACAAAAAGGCACTTCTAAAATCCACACTGGCACCAAGGCCTCAAAAGATACCAACACCTAAAGCAATCATACAAACACTCGGCTGCAGTGGAAGATATGGGTTATCAAAGGCTATCATGGGAAGTGCTAATGGGCAAGTGCAAAATGATTTCAAACTAGCAGATATGATTGCTGAGGAAAATAAATTCTAGCAGACAACATTTCCCAAAGATAGATAGGAGGAGGAGGCACTCAGAGGCACGGTGTATCAGTAGGAGAAAAGGGAAATACACACACAAGCACTGTCTAAAGGATTTAATTCCTTTCGGGAAGGAAAAACTTAGATTTTAGAAATGGTTTTTCTCATGAATGGAACTGGAAATACTATACCAGGTGAGGTAACCCAAGCCAGAAAGACCAACACCACATATTACCTCTCATACATAAACCCTAGCTTAGAACATTTAGAGGGGTGTTCTTACGGGAGACGGGATAGTCAAACACATGTGAGATGAAAAAGAAGGTGAGAATATTGGGGGCAGGATGGTTTAAGCAGGGATAAGAGTGAAGGCATAGGGAAAAGGTGGGTACAGAGAGGGTTGGCAAAAACTAAAGATACATGGAAAAGCTATAATGAAGCCTATTGTTTTATAAGCTAATTTTAAAAGCATAATTCAAAAATAAGCTTAAATAGATAATGCTGCCCCCAGAAGCCACAGGTCATTAAATGAAAATCCTAGTGCCAGGTGGGGGATGCTTCCTTATGAGTTGTTGGTGAGAGAGGCTCCAAAAGCCTCCAAAACAATACAGGACTTTGCTCTTGGTTACCCACCAGAACTAAATGGTATTGATCCTATTACTGAAGACACCACATACTTCAGCTGCAGGACATAAGTCAAGCAGGAAGTGAAATGGAAACTTCCTCCCTGCTGCCTAGTTTTCATGATGCCAGAATAGGCTATTCAGGCTGCTGGGAGAGAAAAGTCATCAATGGTCTTACTCAGCTGTGCACCCTGCAAGTTACAATACTGAACTTCAAGGCAAAATATGCCTATTGGTGTGATTGTTATGGGAGTGACTAACCACTTTCTGATTAGACTTGAGGCCCACTCCACTGGAGGGAATATCTCGTGATAAACCCAGTCAAAAGCCTTGGAGATCATAGGCTTAATGGGGATCCTACAATACTATTTCGCTAAATGGACACAATGTCAAATGCCTTTCAAATATTTATGTTTATACCCAAAGATGAGTGCTGCTCTCAGTCTTAGCCAAAGAAGCTTCTGTTTGCAATAGGCAGCAGTCAATGCAGAGGTTCATACCTGATCCAAGTGCTGAGAAGAAGTATCTGTTGGGTGCTCAGCTCTCAACAGGACATCTTTGTCACCCCTTCAAGCTTCAGGGAACACCAGAGAAGAGGGAGTAGAAACAATGTAAGAGGCATTAGATGGAAAAGAGTGAAACACTGTCTTCTGAACATGACATGGCTGCTACAGTCATGAACTCACAGCAGCCGTGGCTACCTATACCATATCTGTATACCTGTCAACGGTCCATCATGTATAGGGGAGTGGTTTGTTAAGGCCACCCCTCCCTGAGAAACTATTGGCAGTTAATGGTTGCTAAAAGGGGGGAAGTCATTTCTAAAGTGGTATAATCATTGGTATAGCCATAGCTCTAGTATATAACACACACGCACACACACACACACACACACACACACACACACTCATGCAAGTAACCCTAATTCAACTCAGTGAGTCACAAAATAAAGAAGAAGAAATAAATACAAAAGTAGAGAGGATGGCTTAGCAGGAGAGGAAGGGGCAAGAGAGGGCAGTTGAGAGTAAAAGTAACCAAACACGTACAAACCTGAAACTGCCAAAGAATAAAAACTGACATTTAAAAGCACAAACATTTTAAGAAGAAAAGAAATTATTTTCCTGGTTTCTAATTCATACTTTAATTGCCTTTTCTTACACAAAATCTTCCTTTTCTAAGGCTGGGTCCAGTCCCACCTGTGTCAGTTTTGTGATGAATGAAAGAATGGAAGAAATAAAGAATTTGTGTCCTGTCCCCACCCACATCTGCACTGATGGTCAAACTGTGGCATCAGTATTCTACCAGTGTAACTGAACTGTATCCACAAAAACACTCTTAGTGAAGTAAGTAGTGTCCCAGAAGGAACAAGAACATCTGCTCAGCAATACCTACACGTAGATGCAAGACAACCCTGATATAGGGGGAAATCTTTAAGGAAAAAAAAAAAATAACACTCTGGGTATAGTTAGACAAATCATGAAAACATGCATTTGGAAAAATAAAATCCAGAAAACAAGATAACGTACTCTATGGAACTACAAATAATTCAAAAGGCCTAAAGAAGAAGAAGAATCATGGAAATTCCACGTAATAGATAGTTGAGAAACATGTAGGAAGTTAAGAGTGTAATGCCATCTGGAAAGTTGTATGAAGACAAAATCAAGGAACATTATTATACTAGTAATGGACGTGAGAATCAGAAACACTCATAAAAACTACTGAGTCACTGTGGAGTGGCAGGGACATGGGTAGAAAGAACAAATCCTGAAAGCAAATTCTATATTCTCACCACAAATCAGTTCCACCTATTCAGTTAAATGAAAAAAGGAAAATTACAGAAAGCATGTGAAGACCCAAGCAGCAGGCAAGCAATAGCTAGGTAAGTAGAAATAAATTGAACGAACCCCTGGATCTCAGGCACAAATGTGTTCCCAACAAAAATTCTGTGAAAAGAAACATTTGCTAATTTTAACATTTTAAATATATAACAATATTCAATGCCATTAGTCAAATCAAATGGATTGTTGAAGAAAAGCTAAAGGTAAGGTAAGCTCATTATAGAAGATTGAGGGTGAACAGGAGCAAAATAAAATGATATATATGTACATGTAAAATGCCATTAGTAAACACGTTACTTTGCATGATAACAAAAAACTAAAAATACGAAAGGATTTAGCTCATCTTGGCATACAACAAACCTCAAGCTCATGCACAACATACAGTTGGTCCACTTCCAACTGGCCTGAGATAATATTTTATTATAGATAATGAAATAAAACTCAAGGTCCTTCTGCTGGGTTTATATCATCTTATTGTGTAACCTTACTGTCTTAACTGCACCAAGTCTTTCTCTCAAGTCGCAATGCTACAAGGCCCACCTTTTTCCACTGTCCTCAAGCTCTGAAGGAGGAGGCTTGGTCTGCTCCTTTACATTAACTTTACTACTTCATGTCACAATTTAGTATGCCTTCTAGTTCCCTAGGTCATCTGCCTTTGGTTTCCCCTCACACCGCTGGAATTCCAACATCTTCAGAGTCCATTTCAACTCTCTATTCTGACACATTTTACTATTATTCTCATTCACAATGACCTTGGCTTTCTCAGAACTTACAGACCACTTAGTATCACTACCTGATACCTTCTGATTTCCTGTGTGTTTCATGTGTATTATCTACTTTCTCCTGAATAGTTTAGACTGCTTGCTCCTAGAGGAC